CTACTATTTTGGGTTTAGGGTTCACAAAATCGGAGTAGCAATAGCAACATCCTGTTTTTCGGAATGCCTATTTGCTTACGGTGTGCGTTCTGCATAATTGAACAGCAAATCTCAATAGGTAGCGAAAAAAGGCCAAACAGACAACGGTGTTTCTCCATTCCGTAGACCCTGCACAGTAGCTCCCATTCTCATCTAAACCCTATATAGCCCCAGATAAACCCTACATACCCCATATAAGCCCTATCTACCCCCATATGAACCCTATATACCCCCATTTTGGCACTGAGTTGCCGCAGTGCACGGCCGCGGCAAGTGCCGTCACCTTCGTTCTCGGCCTCACCCTCCACGAGCACAAACCTGGCTGTCAAAGAGCTCGTGTGGCTCAAATGAAGAGTCTCAGTGCTAAAATAATGATATACTACAATATAGAATACAATAATCTACTATAATATCCAAACATCCGAAAGCAAGACTCCACTTGACGCTGTAAAACAAGGAGCACTACTGCTATCTGATTCGTGGAGGGTGTCAAGTGCTCTTTTCTTTGCCTACTCCAGGCGTGATGCCTGCTTCTGTACCCGTATTCAAGCCGAAGTCGCGCGGTTCGCAGCACCTAAGCCTACCTGCTGCCAAGCTGCATGCAATCTCCTTCTTGCCCGACATCCTTGCACTGCAGACCCTTTCTGTGCTTCTATCCCTGCCCGCAAAACTCTCTTTTCCAAATATTGGGAAACTCGCCTGGAAAACGAACGGATTTTGGGAAAGGGTGAAACACACTTATGGTCTGCTGCGTACTCAGTGCTGCCCCGCCTCCGCTCGCCACTCCTCTAATTTCTGAATGCATGATCCCTCGTAGCCCCCATAGAAACCTCATATAACCATTTTGTAACTGTTATATAGCTGTTATAACTCCTAAATAACCTTTATATCATCCTTCTACAATCCCTAGCACCAGGACCTCAGGCTACATGAGCGCGAGCTGATTGAAATAAGTATACTGACCAAAGGGGAAAACATGGATAAATTACGATACAATGGTACTATATTTGGGTCATATGGAGATTATGAACATTTTGAGGGTCATATATATTCCACTTTAAATGGTAGCATATAGTGATTGCGTAGGGATATTACTACCCTAAACATTATACCTATATAGTCCTTATAAAGCCCCTATCTTCCCCTATATAACCTAAAGGTTTTTCTCTTTGTGCCTCGGCTCGGTTAGCAACATGCCTGGCTCGTAGATCCGCGCGTCAATACGCTTCCGCAGCTGGTCTGCGAACTCGTCCGCCGCGACCTCCCCAGTTTGAATATAGCGAGAATGGAAAAGAAAATGGAAACTACTATTTAGAGTTTAGGGTTTAGGATTGAGGGTTTAGGGTTTAGGGCTTAGGGTTTGGGATAATGGAAAAAAGGAAACTCCTATGTTATATGGATTATATAGGGTTTATATGGGCCCAAGGGAAAGAAAATGGAAACTACTATATCATTTGGATTATATTGGGGTTATACAAGAAACAGAAAAGATTATACAGGGATCATATTGTGGTCATCAGGGATAATATTGGGATTGTGAAAGAAGCATAAAGGATTGTATACAGGTCATATTCAGGTTATAAGGGAAATATTGAGGTTATCACAGAAGAAAAGAAGGGTTACATGCCGGTCATGTTCAGGTTCTAAGGGAATCCCGGTGATTTGAGAGAAGTGATTAAACCTGCAGATCCTTGCAGGTGAAACATTGCAATCACAGAAATTCTGTAGACCGAAATTACACCACTTAACCAGCAGCCTCATCCAATGTGAGTGCCTAGTTCGCAAACTAAACCAGGTATTGACTTCATCCCATTGATCTGGTAAGCTCTCCAAATTTGCTGAAGCTTACGAAGGATCATACAAGGGCCAAAAGGAGGAAAAGGCGTTTCTGAGGGGTTATAGAAGGGCAATACTGGGGTTATAAGGGTTTTATAGGTTTGCAGTTTGTATTAGGGTTGTATTGGGGTTAGAAGGGATTATATCGGGGTTTCATTGGAATTATGAGGGATTATATGAGGGACATATTGGGGTTATGTTGGCGCTATAAGGGATTATATACGGGCTATGTAGCGTTAATTAATCTTGAATAAGTAGGGAATGAATGGAAAGAAGATTGAATCAAGATGTGTCCCACTCCTCTCTCTCAATACACCAGTGGAGATTGTTTACCTCAAGACATTTCGCGGACTTCTACACTTGTGCGTGAACATCCGAACATCCTCAGTAGAGAAGTCTTGGCTGCCTGGATGACCGTGGACAAGACCAAGGCACCGCCCAAGTCGCCTGCGCAGACATAACAAAGAGAAGCATGTTGTGTTTTCACAACAGGTAGGTTTGTTCATAAATACACCCTAATATGACCTATCATAAATATAGTAGTTTCCATTTTCTCTTCCAGTATCCCGGAATTATCCCTATATAACCCTCATATAACCCCAATATACCCTGCATCGAAACATGAGAGGCAGATCCAAGTAGTCTTCCAGCTGCATCGGATCATCGCCTCGTTGGAAGCCAATGCTCTGCTCCGCCTTGCGGGCGATCTCATTCACAATCCGCTGCATGATGAAGTCGCGTTCGTTTGGGCACTCCTTGGAGGACATAGCTTGTCCATGGCTTCAAAGACTACAGTGACTACAACACCCTTCTCAATCAACGCGGACAAGGAGCGGATACCACCCTGTCAAAGATTTCAGCAGTCCTGAGAGCGCGTGGCGATGCAGGAACGTTCAAACTCCGTTGCTGTCCAACACCGTGCGCAGCAGATCAAATTTTGGCACGCCACATGATCTGGACCTCGCAGTTCCCCTGTGGCTGCAGTCGGCCCTCAAGGGGCGGAAGCCCAAACAGGAGCTGCTCATTGAAGCAGGTGCCTCAGTGTCCATAGAACTTTGCCCACACATCTGGACCACTGTCACTGTGACCATACCTTACTGGTTCTTAGTATGCAATAAGGGAAGATAATGACAGTATAATCCCAATAGAATATATATCCCCTACTCAGCCCCATCAAGATACAGTCAAGGAACCTTCGGCAAAGACCAGCTCACCCTTGTCGGGAGTGATCATCCGGATCCTGAGGATGAAACCCCCAAACACTAAACCCAAAAAGGCTCTGAGGCTCTGACGCTGAGCCAAAACCCCCCTGAAAAAACGCTACAGGTTTGGGGGTACCCTTTCAAGGATATTGGGATTATATTGGGATAAAGGAAAATATAATGGGAACTACTACATGATAATGGAATAGAATATATATTGGGGTTACATTGGGATAATGGAAAATAAAATGGAAACTCCTGTTCATGGTCTAGGGTTTGGGGTTTAGGGTTTCCCGACATTAGGGGGTACCTTTAACGGGGTTTATAGGGGGTTATAGAGGGTTCTATAGGGGGTTATACAGGGTTTAGGGTTTAGGGTTTCCCAAACTTAAGGGTACCTTTTGGGGTTCCCTATAATTAGGATTTACAATAATATATTGGCGTCTATATTCGCTCCCACTATTTTGGGAAACTATCATTTGCTTACGAGGGCATGATGTAGGGAATGAGGGAATATAGTCTGTGGGGATTATCTTATTAGCTACTAACAACCAGCAAGTCTGTAATGGTAACAGTCCTAATGATGGGAACAACCGTTTGGATCAACATGAAGTTATCAGCACGGATGGCAGCCAAATCGGCAACTGTGAGACTGACAATACCTGATTCAATACACCGAAGCCGTCAACTCCAGCACATCGAGCCCAGGAAAAACACGTTTTGGAGCCAAGAAGCTCGCCGCGAAGTACAAGAATGGCCGCCTTCTAAAGCAGCGGCTTTCGTTCTTCTAAGATTAGAAGCATCAAGAAGATTATGGCTCTTAGTCATAATCCCAGTGAATTCTAGAATTCGAACATTGAGCCGATGCCCCAGGCAATGCTGATGCTGCCCTTAACCGCAATTTTGAAGACGCCTAGCACTGTTGGAGTGTAGGAAAGAAGAAAATCTGAGGACAAACAAGTGTCATACTGAATATTCAAGGATCTTTATCATGAAGACCAGCCCCTCTCTCAAATGAGCTGTAGTCTATGTAGGGGAGTATTATAGGGCTTTTTAAGGGGGATACTAGGAGTTGAGACTAGAGCTCATATATTCCTGTTAATTTTTTGCGGATACGGTGGACGCGTGATTTTGCCTGTTCGGGCAGCTGCTCCCCGTTGAAGGTCGACCACAAGCCCTTGGCTGTGATGTGCTTCCTGCCATGAGTGCGACCAGAGTAGTGGGGCTATTGGTTTACGGTTTAGGGTTCAGGGTTTAGGGTTCAGGCTTCAGGGTTTAGGGTTTTGGGTTCAGAGTTTAGGCTTTAGGGTATAGTTTTTTGTAGGGTATACAGGGTTTAGAGTAGGCCTGTTACATACTGGTAACTACATGAAAGCATGGGATATTGATTGTTTGTAGCCTGGATTTCCCCTACCTACCTACAGTGTGGAAGGTCCCTCAAGCTTGCATGGAAACCCGTATAGCTCCCATTTATTTCCTTGAAATGATGTTTACTCCAACTTGGACAGTAGTCTGGACAGGGTAGCGGGATCAAAGTTCAACTATTATGCTCAGTAAAATACTTGTTTAGCTCAAGAACGGCCTGCAGCATGTTCCAGCCCTTCAATCGCACGTACGGCGGCAATACAAGGCTCTGGGACCAGCGCTGACTGCTATTTGCATGATCTTGAGTGCTACGTAGTTCTCCAACGGCTGGTGAGGATAAAAATAATACTCATTCTTACAACCAGGAATAAGAACAACAAGAACAGTGATAATAACAATAATACTAACACTAGAAATACTCATAATCTTGTTGTGATCCTGTCCTGGCATACAGGTTGATCAGCGACAGCAGCTTCTGTGAAGCGCCCACAAAGAGAGGCCACTGAGTGCCTGGGGTGTTGGCATCTAAGCTATAATCTAAACTCCCAGTATCTCCCTTTAAAAGCCCAATACTACCCTATATAATCCCCAATATAACCCCCTATAAGGAGTTTAGACTATAGCTCACCTAAGATCTTAACAGCCGCAGCATGGCTTCCAACACGTTTCGGTGACAAATCCCCATGTTCCCGCATCTCACACAGAACTTCGGACCAAGGCCTGCGGGATACTGTTAGTTACAGTACAATCCATTATTGTTCCGTCGATTTCAATGAGGAGTCTAGTAGAATAAGAACCTGTTCATACTCAACAGGACCTGGGATAGTGATACTGGCCCGGCTAAAGGGCCAAAATCCGTCAGCTGCCTCCCTCTTCGTGGCATTTCGTGGACGCGTCTGGAGCCTAGGTCCCTGTGGGAGCGTGATACTGGCTGCGCTCTACTTTCCGCAGCCTGCAGCGAAAGATATATCCGCACAAATCCCGTGTTTGTTTAAAAGGCAATCCGAATAAAATCCTGTGAATTGCACAGTTTCCTGTTTTGTGTCCATGTGATTCTCGGAATTTTTTGGGGGGATACAATGACCCTGGACCCGCACAGGGTCGAACGTGGGCGCAACATTGATTCTATTCCTTGACCAAGTTTGAAAACTGTCGCAGCAACAACACATTGCTCGTTTACAGCTGGTTGGTGACTTAATGCTGCCGGATGCTTCTCACGGCTGATGCTTCTGAGGGGCTGGAAACCACAACACCATGTTGGCGTCCAATCTTCTGGAAATGCTCTTGCTCCTGTCCAGTGTAGCATCCGAGATCAATCAAGACACGGGAAGGTCGCCCACAACATATGGCAAAAGCAGCCTAAACGCGCTCCTCAGGGTGGTCCTCCAGCGCTGCGATGAAAGCAGCCCGTGGCATTTCCAAAACTATGCAAATCTCCTGGCATTAGGCACAAAGAAAGGGCATGCTGAATTGAACGGATTGTTGCAAAAGGCATGGCAGCATATGGCAACACCAACACTACTAGCTCCCACGTTTGCAGCGGCAAACCAGCTGGGGCGGGATGAGTAACAAAGCATGTTCCTGATGCTGTTGCAGAAGCATTGCAACAAATAATCCTATGTTCAGCTGCTTTGCTTTACCAGTACAGTTTGACGCGAGGAACACCTTCACGTGCGCCTTCTACCGAGCGACAGCGTAACAGAAAAAAGAAAGGAACGTGATTGAAAATGCCGACGGAATGAAGTAGGAGTTCCAACATGTCTCTTTTTGGGCGAAAGCAATCATTTTTCCTAGGTCCAGCTGTACTGGGGTGGACATATCCGTGAACAAGTTTAGCTAGACCTAATTGAGGAAAACAAGAACCTGGTGCCTACTAGGGACTGAAGGAATCGATCCCTACATAGTGCCTGTGTACTCCCATGAGGACACAAAGTTTTGGAAAAGGTTGCAACAACCAGGAGTTGTGTTGGGAATGAATCTAGGTCGCCCTGCAATGACACTCCCACGTCACTCCTTGTGGCTTTCGGGTTTTGGCGCTTGCAGTATGGGGGCTGCTTTTGAGGCCTTTTTGTTTCGCTCTTTTTTGGGGTTGCCGCGACTCTGAATCAACTGCACATTGCTCCTGCTGCTGTTGCTTCTGCTACCGCTCCCGCTTTGGCTACAGGTATCATTGCTGCTGTGGCTGCACCTGCTCCCGCTATTGCTACAAGTAATTGCTGCTGCTGCTGCCGCCGCCGGTGCTGCTGGGCTGGACATCAAGATCTTCATCCAGAACAGCGCTCACGCAGTCATGCATGTCATGCGGATGTTGGAAGTTCTGTGCCTTTGCAACATAAGCTCTCTGACCGGGCCAAATTGGGACAGGGCTATCAAAAGTACAACCCCCTACTGTTTTTCCCCCTACGAACCCGTGAAACGCCATCTGTCCTTTGCCCTTACCACCGCACTTCGCCGCTTGACAAAGCCAAGGATGGTCAGCTCACCGAAGCTGTCGCCTGCATGGACCTTTCATTTCTGTCAAGCGACGCTGTCAGGCGGTAAGTAAACCCAGAACTGCTGAGGGACATCTTTCACATACCGGTGGTTGACAAAGACTTCGGCAGAACCACCTTTGATGATGTACCTGAGCTGCTCCTTCCCATTACAGAAGTGAGTGAAATTATTGTGCCTACACGTGCTGGGTTTAGATGCATGGCCAAGCTGCATCGAGCCAGAATCGACTGCACCTTGGACGGTGATAGTCTGGCCAATCTTGTAGGTCACGGTGCGGATGCAGCCTCTGGGAGAAGTGTTCACATTCCCAGACATTCCCAGCTTGCAACAGTGTTAGCAGGAACAGGCCTGCTATGGCTTGGAGGAAGCCAGGCCCACACCCCTGTAGAATTGTCAGGCCTCAATTTCAGATGTTGCGGCAAACTGCATGGACGATGGGCTCACTTGAGGCAGGGCACTTGCTGCATCGTGCTCTCGCTTTGCGTTCCCGCCGTCCGTCTTTGAGTTCTCCTGTCAGATGCTTGCTGATCGAAAGACCCACGTCTGAGGTGATGTTGAAAGTTCCCTACGAATCAAGCCCGATGGTTCAAAGCCCCTAACTTTGTGCCTTTGTGCAGTATCAACCCCATGAACCACAAAAACGAAAATTTAACTCAACTGATCTGACCTGCCTTCACGAGCCGAAACCTCTGCTGCTCAGAGGGGTAGTTGTCCAGCACACCGTTGAAGGATTGCCTACTTCAAGTCGTGAAAGCATGCCATGGAAGGGGCCACCTGCCCCTGGAAAACAAATTTTATAGGGATTATATAGGAATTACATAGGGGTTATATAGGGGTTATATAGGGATTATACAGGGATCATATAGGGATTATTATGTAGGGATTATATTCCTTACTCCTTACTTGAACCAGTAGTCTGCCGTACACACCTCCAATGCTCTGATCCTGTGTGGACACCATCCTCACATTCAAGCCTCTAACTGCCTGGTTGCCCCAAATGGGCCTTTCCCAGCTACACCATCTGGACTCAAAACTGAGAGGGCTGGAGTCAGAGGCTTGGAGAACTCTTGAAAATCTCCCAGTTTCCATTCGGTCTTTCGTTTGATCTGTCTCAAGCCCAGCACAAGTGGCTCGTTTTCGCTCTTGCAAAGCACTTGGTTGGTCCTAACAGCCGTGCAATCTCGCCTTGACCCTGAAACCCCAAAACAAGGATCTGACATATCCGAGAGAGGGCCCGAACGCGCTCAAACAGCTCGGCCCTGGGGCCCAGAGATGTATAGAGATTGATTACAGGAGTCCGTATTCGTGATCATATGGCGATCGTTTTGAAAAACACCCGCCCACATGCTACCGCATAGTCCTGGGGGCGACTGGCCCGTGACGCTGCACAGGTTATTATTTGCCTTCGCACTGGAACTCACCCAATGCGGACATAAATCACAAGCCTGAGACGAATCCCCACTCTCATCCCAGAACTTCTTCCTGGCACCCCAGCCACTGTGCTCTTCTCAACGCAGCCCAGCACACGCTGCCAGATTTACAACCCCATTGACCCTGCCTGACACAACCGTAAACCCTAAACGTTAAACCCAAAAACGTAAACCCTATCCATTGCATCAGCAAAAAACCCTGAACCCTAAATCCTCTATACCCTATTATAGTAGCTTCCATTTTCTTTTCCATTTTCCCTCTATAACCCCAATATACACCCTATACAACCCATTATAGTAGTATCCATGTTCTCTTCCATTATCCCTGTATAGCCCCAACATATACCCTATAATCCCCTATAATCCCTATAGTTTCCATGTTCTTTTCCATTATCCCTAAATAGCCTATATTACCCCTATATAACCCTAAACCCTTATCCTCACCCCAAAAAAACTGCGGGATGTTGGTCACCTGGCCTAGGGATGAACAGCAGGAGGGCCAGCGGCGTGGCTATCCGGAAGGTCGCATCGGGCCACATTGAGGGCATGTTGAAGAACCTCTGGCAGGAGCAAAGGGCTTAGGGTAGAGGGTTTAGGGTTATAGGATTATAGGGTTATGAAATTACAGGGTTACAGGGTCAAACTGTTTCGGGTCCCATGCTGGAAGACAGAAACTTTGACGCAATGTTTAGGGCATGCGAATCAGTTGTTCGACATGTCTGATACTGGCTTGGGTTGCCACAGTGCAGACGAAGACCCCCCTCGCCATTTTTCAGCATGTGGTAGCACCCAGGCCCCAAAGATAATCCCTTACCCCTAAACCACCCCTTAACACAAAATATGGGTTCCCCAGAATTCCAAATTCTGAAATCTGCGCGCAGAACATCTTTAAAAGGATTAACATTAATCACGGCTCGGATCCTCTGAAGAGAAGACAGAAGTGAGAAATTAGAGAAACAGGCAGAAGGATTGAAAAGTTTCACAGGATGAACAATATGGACTGAAAACTATCTAGCTTATCATGACAGGCCACTGAGGTAAATATCCCACCTGAAACAGAAGCAAAAGCCCCGACAATGCTCTACAGGTTCATAAGCACACCATAAGACTGCGGAAGTGATTTTGATTCAGAATTACTCTTGGTAAGAGTAGACAAGATATCAGTTGACTTTGGACCGCACGGTGAACCAGATGTGCTTGTGACGAGAAAATGTTGTCGTTGTAAACAAGTTAAAGACATTTGTTGTTTCAAGCGTTGCTATTGCACCGGTAGACATTCTTATTGTTATGGTAAATAAGCCTTGGCTTGGTCTGAATGCTTAGATACCGGGCGGGAAACTCATGTAGAGAAATGACACCTATATGATTCAGTAGTGAAAAACCACTGGATTTGAAACACGTAGCCACATAAGTGTAGTGTAAATATAATCTACAAACATATAGATATATATATATATAGATTGTTTATATTATAGTTGCAATATGATTGGAGAAGCGGAGAAGATAAAGCAAATGCTTTATCCTTAATCCTAACCCAATTCTAGAAGGAACCCCTCGCCGTTCTTGAACTACGGCACCCAGGTAGTGTGTAAGGATTGGGGTTCTAGGAGTGTGACCAAGATTTCATCATATATTGTGCCTTAGGTTGGGGGCTGGGTGGTGCTACATGCCGAACAACGGCGACAGGGTTCCTAGCTCAGACACTCACATTCCGGTAAAACGCATAGCTGATCACAGAAGTAAACTATAATATACTCGATTATATACTGTAGCATACTATAGTACACTATAGTATACTATGTGTAGTCTGTCTTGAAACGCTGCCTCCTCTCACCCAGGACCGTGCCCACGTCACAGTAGCCGCAGAATTCCACACCACGGCCTCTGGCAAGAAGTCTGCAATAAACCCTTATAGTATGTTGCAACATGCAATGTGATAAAACATTCTAGTATATTATATTATAGTATATCATCGTATATTCTAGCATATTATAATGCATCTTACAAGATTATTAGTGATGAATACATTAGTTATATACTATATTAGAATGTCTTATAGTATATTATAATATACTGTAGTATGCTTTCACGAATCTCCTGCCCTCAAATTCATCGAGTCTTTCGCCAAGGTGCCCTCACTGCGACGCTCAACTCGGCATCGCCCAAACTCGATAACCCGCAGGGTGTCATCCATGATGCCCTCCTGAGGTACTATAGTACATTACATTATAAAACATTCTGACATATAGTTATCATTGCTAATCTACTATAATGCACTATACTAGAGGGCTTGATCGTCGTCTTTCCGAAGATTACGTTGTCATTGACCGTCAGTCACAAGCCCTGAAGACCAAACTCTATGCAAGACATGCACACAACCGTGCTTCTCGGAGGGCGTGCGGCTCGCTTTCTTTGGTTACAGCTCGAGCAACACGGACAACAGCCCAAGACGAGTCCTCTCGAACTTGATCGCCTGCGAAGAATACCTGCAGCACAAGAAACTGGATTTTTCTCAAAGCCCAAAAGCGGCAACATAAACAACGGAAGCTCCGCCTTGCGCTCCGAGACGGAGGCAACGGCCCGCAGGAAGGCCAGGTCGCAACTGGAGAAGATCTGCATCCCCTGGGCTTGGGAGCTCTTTGCACACGATGCTTGGAGCTTACCTAGCTCTGCCCTTCAACAGCACCGTCACAGCCCTCGTCCTGCTCCTTCTACTCCCCTTCTACTCCCCTCCTACTCCATCTTCTTCGTGTCTCTACTTTCTTTCACATGCTTCCCGGCTGCCTTCAGCGCTTGTGCAGGGCGTGGAAGGCTACCTTGGAGCTGCATCACGATCTCGCGAAGGCGGCCCATGAAGCCTGACCCGCACTTAGGGTTTAGGGGTTAGAGCTCTGGGTGGGTGTTTCTCAAACTGAGCCCTAATACAACCCCCAAGATTTTCCCCATCAAGCCCTCATAATCCACCTTTATAGGAATTTGTCCGAGAAAAGTGCCCACCAGATATGTGGGAATTATGAAGGGATTCTGGGGGTCCTGATTAGTATATAGGGATCGATTTGAGAAACACACATCTCCCCAAGATCCAAAGGGACCCCTCCTTTGAGAAATTCCCAAACTTGGAAAACACTCAGAGGGCCCTTAACACCAGTTCATTCAAGGGTCTGCCAGTGATTCCAGGGAAGAGCGCGAGCGCATCCAGGATCACCTCCGATTGTTCTGGACTTCAGACTACACTAGACTAGGTTCAGGGGCCATGTAGAAATCAATTTCTTTACGACTTTATAAAGATTATAGAGGGATTTAAAAGGGTGATAAAACCAAAAGATATGTTGAAAAAGCTGCCCCTCGATAGCCCGAAGCAAACAAGCTGCGGCCAGGTTGCACTGGGTGGAATCGCAATGGCATCCACCTGGATGGCTTGCTTGGTGACTGGGGTGCAAATGCAGCTTTCAACAAGTCTTTCACCTACAGTAAAGGGTTTAGGGTTTAGTGTTTTAGGGTCTCGGGTTTTAGAGTTTAGGGTTTAAGGTTAAGGATTTAAGGCGAAGAACAACCCGCCAAACAGTCTCAAAGCAAGATGCCTCTGTTTGCGCTCGTACTGTGGCCCCACGCGGGACCCCTCCGTGCAAGAAGCAGACCTGCCCCGGGCTGACTTCTCCAAGTAATAATACAAATAAGAATAGTACCAAAATGTACTAATGATACCCATGGTACAAATAATAGTAATAGAAATATTAACATTAATAATGACTGTAATGAAATGCAAAGCTCAAGCCGGCAAAGGAAAGCTTCCAGGGATGTGCTTCTCCGGAAGCAGGTGCAGCATTCAGATTTCCAATTCAACAGAGCGAACTCCGAAACCCTAAACCCTCAAAAGATGCTGACTCAAAGCTTAACAGCTCAGTGGCTCTGAAATCTCTTGAGCAACGCAGCTACCGCAGAGCAGACAAAGTAAGTTGTGTCCTAACCCCTATAATCCCTACATAACCCTATATAATTCCTATAATCCCTATACAATCCCAGATGCCTATATAATGCTGGTCAAGAGGCATCGCCCATGACAGCGCCCTCGCTAAGAGCACCGATTGTTTGAGGCACCGCCTCGGCTTGCAGGAAATCTGAAACCTAATGCTGACAGTGGCTTATCACTATTAGTGCGAATATTTCTTGTATTATTATTATTGCTAGCATTACTACTATTTCTTTTGTGTAAATATTGTCATTGATATTCTTATTATCTTATTATTACTACTGCTAGTGACGGTACGGGCCTCCTCACCATTGTAGCTCAGCTTCTCGACTTCAGCCTAGTCTCAAGAGGCTTGCCCTAAAACGCTAATATAACCCCAATGGGATATTTATATATATATATATACAGCCTCATAACCCATTATGGTAGTTTCCATGTTCTTTTCCATTATCCCTTCCTTGCCGGCAGAAACCTTTGCATTCCACTCCCGCCTTGCCACTGTTAATGGCAATCAGCCAGTCGGCGATCTCGCCCAAATCATCTTCCTCTACCTTGGCCAGCATCATCAAGCCCTAACCCCTAAACCCTAAACTACATGCTGACGAACTTAGCATCTGCTGCACCCAAGCAGCCAGAGTTTCTTTTGGGGCATAGTGCCGCCTCTGCGTTCCACAAGCAATTAACCAAATCACCTGAGCAAAGCAAGCAACATGAAGCCGACTGCTAGAGTCAATAAATAGTAATACTAGTAGTAATAGTAAGAACAGTAATAGTAATTGAAATAATAACAATAATAGTAATAACAATAATTAAAAATGATAGCAATAACGAGGATAACAATAGTACTAATGATGAGAATACTAATAATGATGATAGTGATAATAATAATGAAAGGAAAGTGAAGCGAAGGGAAATCACCTCGGGCGGCACTCCCGGGAACATGCCGTGCCGGAGGATGCAAATGAATTGATCCTTGGTGGAAAGGACAAAGCACTTCTTCTTTCATAATAGTAATAATGATAGTAATAATAATGATAATGATCATAGCGCTTCTTTTGCAATTCCAGATTCCGTTAGTCTGGACAAGTTCGAGTGAAATGACTTCAGTGCATCGCCTGTGCCAGTAGCTCAGGGTGCAAACCCAGGCAGGTGAACCACAGACGGCAGCAGGCCACCTTTTGCTAGCACCTTCTCGACCAAGTCAAGGGAGACCTGCACTCCGGGAAACTCTCTGAGGGATGGACCCAACGTGAGAGGAGATAAGGTCAAATGTGGTCCAGAAAGTTAGCCAAGACGCCATGGCAACCTTCACACCCGCAGCATCTGCTGGCTTGATGTCCTGGGCAAATACCCGCTTTTCTCCAGAGGCAAAATGCATCATGGAGCGTACTGTTGTCAGCCAAGGAGCCATCCGAAGCCAGCCCGAAAGATTTGTCTGCTTTTGGCTGCTGTAGCAGCTGATGGGGCACAGGTTGTAGATATTCTGGACCTCATCCTGTGATCTATCTGAGCTTACTCCTCTGGCAGAGCACTGATGCCCTCTCTCGACAGAGTCCTTCAAAGGCCCTTGAGCCGTCTTGGCGTCCATGGACACGCAATCGTCCAGGTCGTCGTTTGGGTCGCTCGCGGGCTTGCCTGCCTAGCAAAGTAAACACTTTTACATAGGCAACTTTCCACCAACTAGGTGTTCGTCCTTTGGTAGCCAGTCACCCTAAACCCTAAAACCCCAAACCCTAAACAAAACTACCATAATGTAACATTCATGAAAGACCAAGAACAGAAAGCCAAGCCATGGCCTTTGGCTTGTAGGGCTCTGCCAGCTCGTGCAGGCCCAGCATGCCTGGAACATTTAAAGCGCTGCCAGGTCCAGCATCGGAATCCTCGCATCCGGCGACCACGCAGAGACATTAATGGTAAAACGTGTACGGTTTAAGGAATATGGAAACTACTATAGTATATTGGGGTTATATTGGGGTTATATTGGGATAATGGACAAGAACATGGAAACTACGATTTAGGGTTTAGGGTTCTGGGCTTAGGATTCAGGATGAACCCCTAGAAACCCCCAGCTTCTATTTCCTTTTCCGCGTCTTTTCCTTCTGATTCTCCACTTTTTGGGGAATGTCCATAAACCCTGAACCCTAAATAGTAGCTTGCATGTTCTTTTTCATTATCCCAATTTCCCTAAACCCTAAATCCAGTAGGCTGGGTCAATTGTTCTTATCAAAAATTTAACTGCTATTACTATTTGTACTTTGAATGTTCTTAGCTTTTGCTATGATGGCTATTATAGTTGTTGCTATTCTCCTCTACTTCCTCAAGCACTTGCCAAGGGTCTGGAGCGCAGCCTATACAAATGCGCACGGAGCCAGACAAGACCACGAGCATTGGGACCTACCCAAGGATTTTCGGTGGATTTGCTCGGGCTTTCTATGAGACACCTATGCATGATTGGAAACGGATTGCTGAGAGTGCATTGACCACACGGTACCGAAAATTTATCAAAAGCAAGTTCTGTGAATCCATAAATAAATTTAGGTGCAGGAGTTCGAAGGAAGCAAACCACACACTCAGTTTTCTCCACTTCAGTATATTGCTACCAGTATATGATTATTGGTATACTATAATTCTAGAACTATAATAAGAATATTTGGACTAAAATACATATTCTTTGTTTTCTCCTTCCTAATATTATACTAGCTTCCATTTTCTTTTTCATTATCCCTGTATAACCCCAATATATCATAGTACTTTTCTTTTTTTATATTCCATTATGCCAATACAACCCCAACATATCCCTTAATATACGTTTTCTCCTTCCTGGAAGAAAGGCCTGGTCCGAGAACACAATCTCCTCGTGGCCTTCGTAGCGCCGGCACATTGCCTGCTCTGCAGCCGTGCTCAAGCAACGTTGCAAAGCACGAAAAATAGTATAGTATGTTGTACTAGATTGTAATACATTATAGTATATTATTGTATTTTACAGTATATTATAGTAGATTGTAATACTATAGTATGATATATTGTAGCATCCACATCTCTAGAACTCTAATGAGTAATGTTTCTTGAGCCACAAGATCTCAGCACCACCAAGCCTTCTTGGCAATCTGTTTTATCAAATACTCCTGCATAGAGATATAGTCCCCCGTAAGCAGATAGAATATGGGTTATATGGGGATCTCATTACCATATACGCAAAGCCATACTCTATCTACTTAAGGGGGACTATACATCCAGGGCAGTGGGTGCGGCTTCCCAATCACAGAGACAGGATGCATGTTCTAGCACGGTCTGAAATTCGGCTACCATGACATTACATCCCTTTATCTGAATATATGTGTGTATATACATATATATATATACATAATTTTATAGGTTTAGTACTCCATATATATATATATACACTATTGACACCTCCCCCGTCTTAACTTGATTCTGCGCTGCGGAGCGGTCCTCGCATCCCTGAAATATGGGCACCCTGGCCAAAATGAGAAAGGTATCAAGGGCTCCAAATGGAGGTTTCCCTAAACTGGGGTACCTTAAAAGGGCTTTATAGGCAATATAGGGTTTATGTAGGGATTATGTAGGGGTTATGTGGGGTTTGGGGTTTCCAATAGCAGGGGTACCTGTTTGGGGGTCCCCAAAAGAAGGAATATAGTTGGGGTATACAAGGAGGACCCTAATTTGGGAAAACTACTCAAATAGCAGTGTTGATCCAAAAAAGACTTCAGATGTACAAAATTCATAACCATGGACATCATTTCCGGACAATCCCACATGCTAGTTGGCCCGTGCATCTTCGGTAGATTGCATTGTGGAGTGAGAGGCCATACTAGCAGTACTAGTAAGAATGAAAAAGAAATAATAGCAATATCTTAAATACTGATGGAAAAAATAATAGCAAAAATAGAGGTAGTAATAATGGAAATAGTTATGACGGTAATCGTAATATTAACAACAATAATGATGTTAGCACCATGAAAAATGTAAAAAAAAAAAAAATAGTGGCAAAAGAAATTGTAGAAATGTTTGTTCATATGCTCTCTTCAACATTCCCATCCCCTCATGCAACAAAGGGTTGTCTGGTAGCCTGAATTCAGAGTGCACGGCAAATAATGACTGAGGAGAAGCAGGACGCGCGCGGGGACGGGGGTGAAGCTTGAAACACCTTGGCTCCAGCAGCTGAAAAGCTCCTGAGTTTCATAGCAAGCACAAAATCATGGGTAGATTTTTTGGGGGTCCCGAAAATAAGGATTATAGTATTTTTTGGTCTATATTGGGATCCCCCTGTTTAGGGAAACTACCTCATAACAAGAACACATTCAAAACATTATTGAACTCTGTCTCAAAAAACCTCCAAAGAATCTCGCCTAATCCTCTCAAATAAGCCAAATATGACGCTTGACATTTCCTGTTTGCACTGGAAACCTATCTATAGTAGTTTCGATCTTCTTCTCCATTATCTCTATATAACTCCAATACAACCCCAAGGGCAGCAAGCCCAAGCAAGATCGGCCCACGATGTTAGCGACGCTTCCAGGAGCTTGGCCTCCAAACAATCACCATGATAACTGCTACTATTACTAGTCTTATCATTACAATTAATATTCCTATGATTACTAGTGTTATGACTTTAATTGCTATGATTATTGCTATTTTTGCTAATTACTACTCGTGTTAAAGGTTTAAAGAGGTTAGGACTACGTCCAAAAAAGATGGAGAATCACATGGAAAAAAAAAACATATTTGGAAATGTCCGACTTAGAAGCAACCCAATAGGAATAGAACTCTGTGATATGTGCAATGTGGTTGTCTTTTCCGAGCCACAGCTGCACTGCACTCATGGGAATTCCTGGTAGGCCGACTTGCTTCTGCCTCGTGGTCACTGATCCTCTCAGCATCCATGTCAGCTGCAAACCTGGAAAGCATTGTAGCTTGGAAACCTATACCATAGAAGCTTCCATTTTTTCCATTATCCCTATAAAAATCGCAATATAGCCCAAACATACTTTAGTAGTTTGGGTTTCCAGTGGCAGTTAGGGTACCAGCACTTGGGAGGCAGACTAGAGAGGCTCTTGGTACCTGACAAGCCAAGGCACAAGTAGAAACACCTTGCTTGCAACTTCCCATGTTACAGTGCAACGTCTCTCTATGTGTTACCAAACAGCATGTTGAGAGAGTGCAATGCAATATTGGTGCTGCCTGTCATTCATGAGAACCGAAACTCAATGTGCAGTACTCATTCCACTCACGGAGGAGCCATGTCGCATGATGGTGCTTCTTGCGTGCTAACAACCTTCGCATCATGCCTTGAAGCTACGTCCTGCCATCAAACATCAACACCTGTTAGCGATTGTGCTCCATGAAGGCCAAGAAGAGTTGGGCGTTAACAGATTCATGTTAACACATTCATGATACTTGTTGATTTATGAGCCATTTTGTTCTGGGTTCTAAGTGTTCCTTTGATAGCAATCTATGCCGAGCAATCATGCAGGCTTGACAGCTGACCCCAAACCAATGGAGCACAACCTCCCTGTCTTTGTAGCCATGCTGCAGCAGCGCGGAAAACGAGGAAAAAGCCCCGCAAGCGCCGCAGGGTTTCGCGGCGCGATCCGAGACTTTAAGCCATGCCCACCCTTGAGGTCAAGGCGTAGCTTGAACAGCGTTATTTCATGCCAGCATGTTCTAAATGCACAGGATCTGCTTTGTTCCGTTAGGATGTTGCTCACCGTTCATGATGTCATTGCTTGGAGAATGACTGCGCAAAAACATGGAATGGCTGGGTTCAATATGGCCTGCCGGCACCAACTGCAAAGGGTTGAGTTGCGAATGCGGGCTGAACAACTCGACTTTCTGGTCAGCTTCAAACGATTATTCCGGACCTGTAAGCCAAAGCTCTCGAAACCATTGACAAATGCTGTGGTCGTGGATATGCCATCAGTCACTTTCCCACAAATTTCCGGCAGAGTTGTTTTGACTCTGCCGATGATCGAAACAGCCCGTTTCAGTTGGGCATGTTCCAAGCTGTGACGCTCAACTCGCCGACAAAAGCTTCCGTGGAAAGGCAATTGAGGCTTTTGCTGTCGCCATGCGCGATAATAACCGGAGCTGTGCTGTCGCCATCTGTGCTATGCTGCCCACCTTCGGCGACTATTTGCAGAGGTTGCTAAATGAAATGCGACGAGGATAGCCTGCAACTTCCCCCAATGGGCAGCCAGCATCCACTGCCGGGTCAGCGTCTGCGGGATAGGTGAGGACATCTGCAGCCAGCGGAGCTGCGGCCATGGGTGCAAAAGCAAAGGAAAGCAATCGCAGAAGAAAAATGGATGGACTGCAAGGCCCCCAGCAAAAGCATTACCCTTGCCAAACGCGAGCATTCTGTAGGATCAAGTACTCACCTCTAACGGCACTAGAGGTCTGAGATGCTCAGAGCCCTTTTCCCGATCCATGATCCTCCACGTTTGCGGCAAGCTGTATCACTACCCCTGAAATCCCAGTGCATAGAATGGAGTGCTTGACAAACTCTTAATTGAACAGCCCGCTGTTGCGAACCCAGACGTCTCAGGACTTAACTGGGCTGCAGAAGAAGAGCTACAGTAGTGGCGCTAAGGGCCATAAACGTCATGTGGTGCAGGTCCTCTGAAAGAGGCCAGGCGTCTAGGCTTCTCGGCTTCTAGGCCAACGAAAAAGTGGTTGCACATCTTTGTAGCTCTTCAAAAAGCTATATGTACACCATTGCAGGTCGCACGCCGCATCAGGCCGTCTCATCTTATTTTTCAATTGAAAAATATTCTTTTTCCAATTTTTCAATTGAAAAATAATCTGAGCTCATGTGTCTAACCGGGCACCGAGTATTGCATACAACGGGGTATGAATCAACATGTGCCTTCGTGCGCCCCGTAGTTTTGTTTTGGCTCCACATCACGTGGAAGGGTGCTGAAGAGTGCGATCCACATGGTGAGGCGTACACCCAGCGTGCCGAAACGCCGGAGCTAAATCACAGAATCGGTGCCAGTCGCCATTCAAAATTGGTGTGATCCCTCTCTCTTTGTGCAGGCGTGAGTCTCATTCATCAGAGAGCAGGCATAGCCAATGTGGCGCCAAGCAAATCGTGATTCCAAAGTAGCCGATCTTCGACATGAAAGGATTACCAATAGTCATGCTGCCGACAGTGAGGGCAGGCGTGCAGTAATCCGGGGTGAGATGCAGGCTGAAGATGAAGCGATGCGTGATGAGAATGTTGAAGATCATCAACTAAGTGAAGTTCAAATGTTCGCGTTCGATTTCAAATCCATCCAGAAGCCTTTCCAGATGATGCTATACCAACATCATGACAAACTGCGACGTGACGTCAGCGCTTTGTGGAGCGCCCGCAAGCAGTTCGAGTCTGTTCTGGAAGAGTATCAGAAATTCAAGGAATCAGGCAGGGTTCCGCATTTTGCGGACTCCTTCTCAGTACCAAAATGTGTCTTAGGCGTGGCCTTCCCAGTTCCAGATGGTCCAGCTGCAGGCCGTACTATCCAGGAAGTCATCAACTCGTTCAAGGACTCGCAGCTGGCCACGAAGGTAGACCATATGGTCAAAGTCAAAGAAGCAGTGGTTGAACATTTCAAAGCCAAAGTGAGCCTCGAAGCCTCCGACAAATCAATCAAGGCGCAGCTTGACAACATTGTTGATGAGTTGCGCGCAATGGCTTTAGGTTTGGACTTTGGATATGAGAGTTGGTTTGAGGAAGCCAAGCGATTTGCCAGAATGTCTTTTGAGCACATCTTGTTTGCCGCAGCCTCCAAGCGTGTGCGTCACAATCAGAACCAGGAGAAGATCACTGAGAAGCAAACAGCAGCCCAAAGTGCATTCACTTCGTTACCTAAAGAGGCCCAGCTTGAACTCATGATTGAAAGTAAGGTCTCCCAGATGATGACTCGTGGCAAATCCAGTTCCAGCATACCAACGACTCTGCTTCGACAGCAAGGAACAGCAAGCCCTAAGCCGTCAGATCTCTGCCTTCAAGGCTGAGTTTGGAAAAGGACTCGGCAAAGATGGACGTGGACACAGGCATCATCGTTCTCTTTCACGTCTTCCCGGACATCAGCCTAAAGGTAAGAGTAAAGGCAAGGGCTATAATCCCAACGGGTTTTACCCCCAAGTCCCCAATAAGGGTAAAGGGAAAGGGAAAGGTAAATCGAGGAGCCGCGCGCCCAGCGCACACAACAACAGCCGTGAAAGGAAGCAGAAAGGCAAAGGCAAGGGTAAAGGTAAGCAAGACCGAGGCAAGGGCAAGCGACAGGGGTTAGCTTCAGCGGCGCGGCAACCATCCTGGAATTCTCGCCAGATGAGCAGCCGCGCCGGATATCCACCTCAACGACGTACTCCGTCCCGACCTCGTCGAGAGCCAGGAGGAGGATGGCGCGGAGCATGGTGATTGAAACATCTCGTCGGGCGAGGAGGCTACAAACAGGCCGGCCTCGTCACAGAAATGAGTGGTTAGCCACATGTTCCATGCCTTGTTTCATCGAGCACTTCCTTTCGCGACTTTCTCAACAATTTTCCTGGGAATGCGCTACCAGATATTTCATTGGGGACTTGGACCTGGGTGTGTTGGGCTTTGACCACACCCAGAAGACTACAGTGGCCCGGAGATCAGTTGGCATTCCTGATTGCGTTGCTCACTTACTTTCAAAAATTCCCAGATTCATTATTGGTCGCCGTTCGCTACCTCTCACGCATGACCTTGATGCTGCCATGCGTTCCTTCAAACGTCAAATTCTGACTCGCCATTTCTTTGATGATCATGGCAAGACGGCGGGCGCCAGCGACAATTTTACACTGCGATGGGCTGGCCTGACGGCCCCCTCCACTTGGGAACCGCCTTCTACGTGTCCGACGCTGGATGAGACGCTCACTGCCACGCACAATGATACGCGATCCAAGTTTGCTGTTGCGGTGACGAAAGACGCTAAAGGCAACAGCCTCATCCCAATGCGTCGTGATTTCAAGCTCGAGATGACTGTTGCTTTGGCCAGTGATCCCACGCAGTTTGCTCTCCAACAGCCTGATAGATTGGGGTATTCTTGGCTGTCAATCACATTTGTTCCAGATTGCGACTCCCGAAAAGGGTGGCCGATCTTCTTACGAATCAAACTGCATTTGAGGACTGGCCTGTGCACAACATTGAGTACACATGGAAATCCCACAAAGCTCACCAATCCGCTCTTTGCATTACACCAACAACGCGTTCTCCACTAACTCCTTTGGCCAAGGTGTTGCAAAGGCATTTGCGTCCAATCGTTGCCAGCAAACCTTCGGTTGTCACACGCACACGTGAGGTGGTAACTGGTTTAGATGGACTACCTGTTCCACACCACGCGTGGCTAGGAGTTGGCGACATCAAGGACTTTTTTCCATCTACATGCCCTACACAAGCTTGTGAAATCATTAAAGCCGAGTTGGTTGAAAATCGGGACCCACATGAAAGGCATGACATTCATGCAAGCGTTGAAGCTTTGGCCATCGTGCTGAACAACCAGTCTGTGAAAGCCGGTGATTCTACATACCGCTGCTTGAAGATTGGACAGGGCTTAGCATGCGCTTCGGAAGTATGTGATCTTGTTGCGTCCCGGACTCTGGATCACCATCCGCAAGTATCCTATCACATCCAGTCAAACATGTTGTGGTATGGCCGTTTCCGTGATGATTGCTTGGTCATTTGGACAGGTCCTGACGACGAACGTTTTGATTTTGAACAAGCTTTTGGAACTGCCAATCCGCGGTATGTTTGCAAATGGGAATGGTCCCAAGATGAGGTGACTTTCCTCGACTTGAGCATTCGAGTTCAAGATGGACGGCTCAGACTCAGTACTCATTTCAAACCCACAAACTTGTTCAGATACATTCCGCTTCGTGATGCTTTCATGGAACGCTTATGTGCGTGCGGATATGGTAAGCCCTTCATCACGCAAGTCTTTTCCCGAGATGCTTGCCAGTACACAAGAAGAGCCACTTTGCCAAAGCAAAACGGACTTTCCCGTGAACGGTGCGTTGCTTTGCGCGTGAGACTCCATCCAATCCTCGAGCGCATGCGCATCCGTCAGTGGCTACATGACAGGCAAGAGAGAGTTCATACTGCACTCAAGTCCCGCCCGCGTTTCGTTGTTGCCTTCAAACGAGGCCAGCATTTAATCCATACTTTGCGTAACGGTGTACAGACAAACTGCGCGGAGGGTAGGCGGGTGCAGTTTTTCAATTGAAAAATAATCTGAGCTCATGCGTCTAACCGGGCACCGAGTATTGCACACAACGGGGTATGAATCAACATGTGCTTTCGTGCGCCCCGTAGTTTTGTTTTGGCTCCACATCACGTGGAAAGGTGCTGAAGAGTGCGATCCATGTGGTGAGGCGTACACCCAGCGTGCCGAAACGCCGAAGCTAAATCACAGAATCGGGGCCAGTCGCCATTCAGAATTGGTGTAATCCCTCTCTCTTTGCGCGGGCCAACAAAAAAATGGTTGCACATCACTGTAGCTCTTCAAGAAGCAATATGTACACCATTGCAGGTCGCACGCCGCATCAGGCCGTCTCATCTCCCGCATCCTGCAAGCAAGGAAACACTACACTAAAGCTTTATGTATGATGCTGTCCAAGACACCAATAACTCCGGTAACTAACCACAGCCCCAACCACTCTGAACACAGGGAACGCAGAAAGGAAGTCCCAGATCTGGCTACGCCCATCTGCCACGCCTCACACTTAGGCCCCCGAAGATTTTTGAGCCAAAACCGCACCCAGGCCAGCATCCTTCTTGAAGCAACACCCCGCAACAGTTGCCTCCTTGGCGCTCGGCCTGCTAGCAAAGGCGAAGCCTCGGATTCGTTGGAAAACCCCACTTCTCATGTCCAGGTCCTTCAGCTTGCTTTGAGACGCATACTAGAAAATTGCTTCTGCGGCAAGCAACAGCTTTAACTAACAACCCGCCTGCGGCTATTGCGACGCTGTGTCTTATACCGGACAGAGCTATGTGCACACTAGCCGCTTGCTCCAAAAGTTGCGCTTACCGGACTGAAAAGCTTGCTCAATAGCTGAAGGTCTTCCTGCTAGACACTGCGCCGTACTATGTGCATACTGACTTTACGACAACTGCCATCTCAGAACCATCTTGGAGTTGGACAGCTGGCAAAGCCGGGTGGGACCTTAGCACGGACTTGCCAGGCAGGTATCTGTCCTTGGCCAGGGCTGAACGAGAATGCATGATGATCCACAACTACAAATGCCACAGATGGCAAGTTTCAGCGGCTTGGGGTCAAATTGCATGCTTCTCGTGCGAAATTTGCACAGAGATCAAACTAGGATTCAAAGTACTTATAGCCCTGGCAACTTTTTGTGCATGGGTACAGGAAGAAATATTTCAAACTCAAGTGATCAACAATCACGACCCATTCAAACAAATTTGGAGAGCGGATCAATACAATCATATAATCACTCAAGATATATCCAATCCAACTCATTCAAAACTGAATCACATCAGTTGCAGCAGACACGTACTTCTTTTGGCACAGCCAAGTTGGGGCGATTCCTCAAGTGCAAGGGCTATGAAGGTCGCGCATCATACATGAGCATGAGCACGTCCATCACATCCCCTTCTCAACTTCAAGCGGGCTCAATGCTTCTCCGGTGAAGCAGCAAAGTCCCAAAAATGGGGAAATCGGCACTGCCACGAGAAGGAGCATCTGCTGGATTACTCGGTGAGGGGACCCTGGCAATCCACCCCATCATTGCATCGGCGTCTGCACATTCAAGCTCAACCAACAGGGATCTCCATATGGGATCCTTTGACGTCCCACTCACGCACGCGGCATGAACTCCACTGTGGTCTACGAAGAACAGGACCCTCTCACGATTGAGATAGTGGCTCCAAACTCTGCGCGCGCACACCACAGCGTACAACTCCACCGGACCTATGAGATGCTTTTTGCCTGCTTCACTCCATCTTTTGATGATGTTGGCCGGGGCGCTGCAACTGAAAAAGCGTGCGCACCAATGACCACCCACCTGATGGTACATGACACCACCGATGCTGCACACAGGAGAATCCTCTGGGCCCTCGCAAGCCCCGTCGGTGAACACACAAATGCATCCGTCTGGAAGCGCAGCGCTGATGGTCCGTGACTGCATTCTGATTTGAAGATTTCGGAAGGCAGCAACCTCGACTTCCCCCAAGGTGAGGTTCCCACACGAATCACACAAGGCCCGCAGCTCCATGAGCGCAAGGCGACCAAGCCGGCCCATGATCTGACCCTCCATGAACTGGATCCTCCCGAAAAGTGAAGCAACTTCACGCGCCTTCAAGGAGCCTCTCCGGATGACCTCACCAACCGCCGCACTGACTTCGGCACACCTGTCGACCTTGTTGGCGACGCACACTTTACCCAGCGAGGGATCAGACAAGTCAACCGTAACCCCTAGAAGATCGGCGCTATGACCAAACTGCTGCTCTTTCTCAAGGGCGCACTCAAACCCCAATAAGGAGAGAACCGAATGCACGACCTTGTCACAGCTGCCTCTGAGGGCGCTAAGCTCAAGTAACGGGTAGTCGTCGAAGTAGTTGAAATTGATAGCTCTCGCTTCCTGCAAGATGCGCTGAATCAACCTGGCCACGCGATTGAACGCCGTCACGCTTGCCCCGGCCCCGAAGGGCAGCACGCGGGAGATGTACCCCCTGACTTCGGATGAACAAGGATCTTTGATGGTCACCACGCAAGCGGCTTGATGGTCTGGGTGAACTGCCAGCTGCTTATAAGCAGACTTTAAATCAACCGTCTTCAAGAGTGGTCGGCTCCGTTCCGGATCGGCCTTCCAGAAATCGTTCAGAGGGCCAACCACTTCACCCCCTGAAGACAACTTGACTCTGACTTCACCCCGTTGCATAACGCTGCGCATCAAGAAGGCGGCTGACCAAACCAATTCGTCCAGGGCACGAAGAGTCAGCTTGTCGCAGGCAGCAAAGGCGCCGTTCACACCGTTTTTTTTTGACTCACAGCGTCCTGATTCCGCTAGGTCGCCTGGTGTAGGCCGTGCAGGTTTGTTACCCGGAGTCTCATGGACTCAGCCACGATCGTGCCACAGCACAAAGCAACGTAGCCGGCTGCAACCGGTGCGAACACCAAAGCATTGCAGCCAGCGAGCTGTACAGAAACAAGCTTACAAAATGACAATTGGTAGTTTTCGTGAAACCCACTATTGCGAAGATATCATGCGACAATGCTTCACTGTAACCATGTAACTGAGAGCTGTCAACGGTTGTAACCCACTGCAGGCGCGTCTCCAAAGCAGGGCATGTTGTAATTTCCCATAGTTCGGATTTCGTCCACAATAGAAGTCGTGGAGCCCAACCCAACGTCGGGAGTACCATCTGCAACCACCGGACTTTCTGGCGCCAGCTGAATTTGCAATTCATCAATACTGACAATGAAAACCCAATCCCGTGAGTAGCTCCTTGTCCTCATCATTTAGTACTGTAATGCCCTTGTTGGCATACGCTACCAGGACAAACCTTTGACCTTTCCATGCCATCGTGGAGTGCAGCCAATGGGACCTGAACAAGCCGCAGGGTACACCCACATTGTAGACCCGACCAATCATGTCCCCATTGGAGCTTGGCTTCGGCAGTGCTTGCTCGCAAACCCATAATCCTCCGCCCTGCCAGCGACCACAAGCAATCATTAGGTTGGGAATGGCAGCATGATTCTGCTTGTCAATGTGTGGCGCCATGTGTGTATTTAGATGCAAGCTGATGGAGCTGAAAACGCGCAGCGGTTTCTGACCTCTCACCCATGCCGTGAGCAGTCTGGAGACCCATGGGAAAAGCCTTGTGTTCTTTGTGACCCCCCCGAATCCACCCTGCACATAGCTACCCCAGGTTAACGAAAACGACTCACCATGTTGCTCAACCGCAAACTCTGTACATTTTCGCTTTCTTGCCTTGGTGAGCTCCGGCAAGTACTGAATGAGGGCTCGCAGGAAGTTCTGCATCAGCTCAAGATTCAGACTGCCCCTATGCAACATCCGAAATACGAATAGCTCCAAGGAATGATAAGGTGGCTCTTCCAAGGATAGGATTGGAGCTGCCAAAACACATGTATAGTCCAGAGGCACATTCCACTGCTCCAAGAGCTCCGTGGCTTGTGAAGAGTACTGCACCTCCAGAGTAATATGGGGAGCAACGAGCCCGTCTCCCGGCTTGTGTTCATCCGGCTCCGCAACCACCCTGCACCCCTCATCGAATTCCTCCATATCGATTTCTGTGAGCGCATACTCCGAATGGGGCGAAGCTGAACCAGATGTGTTCGAGTCATCAATAACCACCGCATCTTCCACCTTGTCTGTAGACTCCCCTTGTAGCAAGGCTCCCGTCTCCATTTGCTGCCCTGTCTGCTCCTTCTGAGCCGCCTCGCTGTAATCCGCCAACGGACTATACTCTTCTTCCGTGGGACTGTCCTCCCTTTCTGCCTCCGCTTCCGCTGTAGCTCTCATATGCGAGATACCCAATATGGAGGGTAACTCCAGTTGCCAAAGTTCCGGGCCCACCCCCGGTTGGTACCAAACACTCATCACCCTGGAACACAATAGCGTGCAAAGGCATGGCCCCGTACATGCCCGCACCCCGCACCCAGAGACGAAATTTTTCACTGACCCCAACTGCGGCCCCAATGCAGACAATTGGCATGACACTGATAAGTACGTAGTGCAGACAGCAAGTACCTTCTCTTTTGCGACTTCGTGCTATAGGTCGGTCCATGAGCCCCGGACCTCTCACCCGGACTCGGCCCCAACACCTGGCAGGACCGGCCCGAAAAAAGGCACTATATCAATGGCGCTGCACCCCCCACCGGGTGCACTTCCCTCCGTCGCTTACAGATCAACATGTACACATTTCTTGACTCTCTGGTCCCATCAACCGAATCTCGCGCATGAAACACTGGTTCGTCATTGTCATCACAAATTGTGTCCCCCGCTGCCTCGGTCAAGTGCACCGTGTAATGCCCTGCAAGTACAGAGTCACCATGATGCATGATTGCTGCAACTAAGTCGTACTCCACAGCGCCTGAAGATAGCTCATTGTCACCTGTGAAAACAGGCACGTGCACAGCCTCTCTCCAGGCAATACGACAGTCATTCTTGTGCGCAACACCAGGCTGCCCGCCATATCTGTAAAAGCTCAAGACCAAAATGGTCGGCGCCTGCTGTAATGCGTGCGTGTGCGCCTGTGCGTGCCACATATGTAGCAAATACTGAGTGTTGCGCAAATCCCCTTCTCCAGACCAATAGCCTGGCGACACAGGCCCTCATCAACCACAACAACTCGTCTGCCCTGTCTGGGGCTGTCTTGCTCCCGTCTGGCCTCCCACTTGCCACTGCAAAAGATCTGGACCTATTTTTGCCACAGGTGTGTCCGAAACTCCGCACAATCATGCTGCTGAGCAGGTGACCTCCACCCTGCCAAGACCGCGCCAAAGAGAATATGACCTGCAATGAGTATTCGCCTGCTGCGGTGCCCCAAGAGACCCCTGATGAGGTTACGACCAATATTCGTAAGCGAAGACTCCATCCTTGGATCTGTGGCCACCACCCACAACATCGTCCTGACTGCAGCATTCACATAACAATAATTGGCACTGTTCCTTAGTATGAGAGTCCTCACTGAATGAGCTCGGCCAGCTTGTTCACGGCCGCGGATCTCTTGTATCCTTCCTTGCGGATCTGCAGCCCTCCCATCTGTAGGGACGCCTGTCCCATCAACTGCTCCAGCAAATCGTAGAACTTGTTGGCCTCTGGCTTGCGGAAATTTACGTCCAGCTGCAGGACCACCATGGCCCCCTGCATGTTCGGAGTCAATGGTCTTTTGCAATGGAAAGCTGTGACGATCTCCGCCGTGGTCAGGGCTTTGAGGTCCTCCACCAGTTTCATCATGGCTGATGTTTGTAATGGTGCTCGCGCCACGTCCTGCTCCAGGGCTTGGTTTGCCGGCGACCATTCTGGCAGACCCATTGCCCCTGCTCGGTGCACCACCCCGACTCCTTGGCCTTATTCACCTGCTCCTCCGTGAGGTTCTTGAGTATCTCCATCACCTGGTTGAGCAGACACCATAGCAGGGTGGTGCGCAGGCTGATACCGCTGAGCTGACTGTTTGGTTTGGTGATCTCCTCTAGTAACTTGCACGTTTTCTTTTGCGGAGCTCTTCTGAGCTGCCAGGATCAGAAACCTTGTAAAAATCATGTTTCAGCGCAATACTCAGTTTTCATGCGGAAAAAATGCTAGAAGCATCAGCCGGGGTCAGTGTTCCATCATTCAACAAACAACAACTGAGGATCTGGAAAAATATTAGGCACAGAGCATCTAGACCATTTGGGGAATGGAAATGTTGCACAGCATATCTCAAAAAATGATAGATTCAAGCCAGGGCATGCCCTGGATCAGGGGTTTTGCATCATTCAAAGTACCA